GACAAGAAGTTGAAAAGCCTTCAAGGGTCCGAGGGTACAAGGGGTCTTTCCCGGGGTTACGGCGGACCGAAGGGTCCGAAATGGCCGCCACCAGCGGGAAAAGAAAGTTTTCAGGCCCATTTCTTCGCGGGCAAATAGTGATAAGCAAGCGGCGGATGTCGGGCCTTCGGTTTTCTGGCGTGCTGATCAAGGCAGTACGCTAGAGATTGGTTTCGGCCCAGCGATGTAGCGTGTCGGTCAATGGGGTCGAAGGGCTGGGGAAAGAAACAGGGCAGGTGAGGGAAAACGCCTCTACTTTAGCTGACATTTTGATGCCCGTACACTGATGCTGTATAGTCGTCAAATTGGTTGCACGGTGGCCGGCCAGAAGGGACTAGGTAGATATGACAGGATATTTTGTGCCACGAAAGCTGAGGAGGGATGAGTTCACCAGAGTAAGCTGACGCGCTTATAACATGCACGACAATCCGTCACCTGTAAGCTTACGCTCCGATGAACGTCGGCGTGATCGGCTCTCCGCGGTAATGTCTGGGTCCCTAGGTCACGAGACGCCGCTGGACGCCGATGCGCCTCGGAGTTGGAGTTTCGACGGCAGGCGAGGACTTTGCGGGGTCATCAGACAAGTCATCCGAACTTGACAGGCTATGCTTCTCGGACGAAACGCCGTGGAGAGCACAGGACACCAAAGGATCACCACAGAGAGACGGAAAGCAAGTGACAAACAATAACATTAACAAAACAAGCATCAGCCATGGCGCTATGTGATGGAGGCGGCCAGGTGAGCAGGTATCTACAGCATCAAAGAGACGCGTCCCTAGCAGGACTCAAAGCTCTTATGTCTGCCGAAATGCTCTAATCCAAAAAAGAACCCGCGGGCGATGAACCCAGTCGGTGCCGGCCAAAAGCCAGGAGCGGCGTCTCTTCTTTCGCAAAGGAAGTGAAGAGGTGGATAGCCGCGTCGGCGTATTGCCCGTGATTTTGCGCCGTCCCAGTCCTTTGATTTTAAACCCAGAAAATCATAAAAGTTTGTTCCGAACCCGAAGCACCATGAAGCAAAGAAGACAGAGCGATGACGAACCACAGACAGACTCTAGTGGTTGAACTTGTCGCCGATGAGGACGTCAAGGTGGCCCTTGTAGTAGCCCTTGCAGCCGATACCGTCGAGATCCTCCATGCCGGGCATGTAGGCGGCCTCGTTGGTGCCGTCAGACTTGACCCACGAGCAGACCTTGCCGTTGGCGGAGACGGACATGCCGGGGTAGGGGAGGCTGGCGGCGCCGGCAACGAGAACGGAGGCGTCAGCGCCAGAGTTGCCGCCGTTGGGCTCGCTGCCCCAGTCGAACTCGAGCCAGACGCCAGCAAGCTGGCCGATGGAGGTGCGAGGAGCCTTGTCACCGGGGCCACAGGCGCAACCGCCCTGGGAGTTGGTGTCGAAAGCCATGTAGACGTCGTCCTTGCCGGGGTCGGCGACGGTGAAGTCGACGGCGGAGAACCAGAACCCGTCGAGGAGGCCCTTGGGGCCGACCTTGTTGAAGCAGGAGCACGAGAACTTCTCGCCAGTCGAGGCGAACTTGGTGGTGTAGTCGTACTTGTCGACGGCGGCCTTGTCAATGATCTGCATGTTGCAGCCCCAGTTGTCGGCGGTACCAACGTTGCCGGCGTACATGATCTGGTCGAGGGTGGCGCGCTTGCCCTTGCCGTTGCAGAAGGGCTTGGCCTCGGCGTTGCCAGAGGAGGGCGCGGCAGAGGAAGAGGCAGCGGCAGCGATCTTGACCTGGGTAGGGGCGGCGACGGCAGTGGTGGTCGGCACGGGCTCGGGAGAAGGGGTTGGCTCCTCGTGGGGACGGCCAGCCTTCTTGAACTCGATGTTGCGGTTCTCGAGGTGCTTGCGAGCGTGGAGGTGTGCGTGAGCAGAGGGAGCGGCGGACACGCTACCCAGAGCGGCCGTGAGGGCGATGAGAGTGGTGGAGAAGTGCATTGTGAGGTTGTGTTTTGGTGTTGTTGTGTGTTTCGAAACGATTTGACGATTTGCCCTCTGAATATACGGTCTACGTCGTTGGCGTCGTGAAAAGATCGTGATGCTTCTGCAAGGAGTGATGTATCTCTTCTTCGTCGGGAAAGGGATGACTGCGAGGACTTGCTCCGCGGGTGATGGGACGATGAGATCGACTGCT